CCTCTTATGCTAAATTTTTCTCCAACATTTCCTTTGTCTCCTTTGCCCTTCTCTTTCATCCCAGCAATGACCTAAATCTGGCTTCTTACAGATTAAGCCTTCTCTAACACATTCACCATCTGTTCTTCTGGCTCTGACGTATACTATCTTGTCCTCTGATAATTTTTCTTGCAACCAATCTTTGTACGGACTGCAAAGCACTTTTTAGTTGATAAAACTTATGTGTCATTAGTAGCACTTTACCACAGAAGACACTGGCTTTTGAGGAATCATTTAAATGTTATACAAATACTGTGAACTTCTGGGGGGGGGTCATATCTTTTAATATAAAAAGTATAGCTTGCCATTATAAAATTAACACACAGAGACTTTTTTTTTTTTGAGACCCCTGTGCTACGTAGCTGTTGTAACCTTCTCTTGGGAAAGTGCAAGCAAATGATGCCAATTCCACCCAAGTCCAACTTGGTTTCCCTGTGAGCTTATTGGACCTGCTTACAGAGAAGAAATGTGAGTGTCCCAAACAGGTCGGTCACCCATGGAGGCAGCCCTGTGGAACTGCACCATGGGGTCTTCCCAGTGTCTCCCCCCCCCATCACATTCAGCTTGTGGAGAGACCTGGAGTCCAAATGATGGTCCTGGGACCCACACCTCTGATAGGTCCCAGAGAAACCTGGGTCAAATGGCTAACGGAGACCATGATACATATCAGTGTGGTACTGGCCAGCTCTTGCAGCATCACTCAGTACCTGTGGCTTCTCCCAGCACTTCTAACCCTCACCCCCGTCCACCCCTACCCCACCAAACTTCTCCAGCCCAGGGCCTGGCCTTGGTTTCTCTTCTCCACAGCTTCTGGTTCCTAGACAACTCTGCCATTTTGACATGTGCTCTTTTGGTTCTTCCTGGCTCTTGGTTCCCAAACACTCTTAGTCTTTCCTTTTGGCCTCCTCTTCTTTTGCTCTCTCCCTCTCTATCCCTTCATAGCCCTGTTCAGTCTGGACCCTTCCAGATGCCTTTGGACAAATTTTCCCCCATATCTACAATAAACCTTCACCTCAACCATACCTTGGAGCTGTCCTGTTTTTATTTTTTTCCATTCACCTCCTGAAGCTGGATTTTACCACTTTATAGGTTCCCACCCTTTTTCCCCACCCTTAACTCACCCCCATCCCCTGCTTTCATCCCTGTCACAAGAAAGAAAGAAAGCTAGAGGGGAAGAAAGAGATAGAGATCTCTGAATCTAATTTCTTTCCTTTTGTTTCTTCCTTTGAGCTCGACTACTAACAAACCTGAACCAATCCCACCTCTCAGGACTCTAGCATTTATATAACCTCTGAAAAGTTCCCAGAATCATAGACCAGGCTGGCCTAGAACTCAGAGATTCCCCCTGTCTCTGCCTCCTCGAGTGCTGGAATTACCGGTGTGCACCACCATGCCCAGCTCTTTCCTTTCTTCCTTCCTTTCTTCCTTCCTCCCTCCCTCCCTCCCTCCCTCCTTTCTTTCTTTCTTTCTTTCTTTCTTTCTTTCTTTCTTTCTTTCTTTCTTTCTTTC